ATAAGCAAACAAGTTTTAACGCTTTATTTTTTAGTAAATTTTGAAATTTATAGAGATGTCTTGTATTACTCATTATATTTTTAATAATAATAATTATTATTATTATCGGGCATTCTTGTGAAGTAATCGTGACTAAAAAAAAATATTTTTTCCATGATAATTCTGTTTCAATTTATGTAACACACTAGACACCATACCGGAATGCAAAACAAATTTAAAAAAAATTTTTTTTAAACTATCACAAAAATACAGTTTCACTCGAGTAATTCGATATATTACTTCATGTCAGTCACGAATTTTTAACAATCATATTGGATGTGTTGTTTTGAAGAAGAAGATTTTTTAATAATGTCACCAAAAGACTCGCAGTAAAATCGTCACATTTTTCTACCCACCAATACGCGACAGAACTGGCCTATTGAGATCGCGTGCAAAGAAAGAAGAAGAGAAAAAAAGGAGCATTGCCAAGTAATCGCGTAGGTGGATTTTTCGCGGTGACACACACATACATACATACATACATACATACGTACATGTATATCCACGGACGCAGAGACAGTGTCCGCGTTCGCCTATCGATGAAAGTTTCGTTGTCGAGCCGTAAATACTGCTATATTTATACTGCCGCTCTATCAGGAATGAGAGAGAGAGAGAGAGAGAGAGAGCCCCGCGAGCGTCTGACAGTTTTGTAACGCGCCAAGTGAAATTTCTCTGGCTCCGGCTTCGGTATCGCGATTCCGGCCGATCTCGCGATTTCTATGCGGGAACGCGCCGTCGCTGCCGTGGAATCGCTCTCGTCCGCTTTTTAACTTGTAATTAAATTGGGTAAGGTTTTTAATTAAAATTATACCTTGGATCGTTTCCTTTTTGCTTTTAAAGTTCAATTAGTTATTTTTTTTTCTTTGTTTCTTTTATTCATTTTTTTAATCGAAAATTAATGGGATTTATTCGAAAAATTTACTTAGTTGATATCGCGTGCGGACAATAGATTGCGAAAACTTTTTTTTCCATATCACCGATACGTCGTCGATAAAGTTATTTACACTCCAAACTCCAATTAGCCAATAAATCGCATTTTAAAGTTTATAATTCGACCAGTGCTCCGAGAGTTTGATGATGTTTTGTTTCATCATCCAAAAGCCACGGTTAAACAAATACCATTGATTCTAAATTCAACAGCGAAGGTGTAAAAATCTCGATGGACACTTGCACGAATGAGTTTGGTTTAGAATGTCGATAACATTATTTTTCCTTATCGCAACGCGTGTACGAGCACACACGTATATTTTTACACTCGATCCATTTTGTGTCAAATCAAACGATTGAAATTTGTAAAATTTCAATGAAAAAAACTAGTGCACTTCGATTCATCGATATCAGGTGGTTGTTAGAGGTCTAAAAAAACTCGTAAGCAGAGTGAAACAGTATTATGTATTCGTGTTAAAGGCCAGCGTGATTTTCATACTTCTACATGTGTCTACATGTCTCGTGTTGGAGATTGTGGGGTTTCAAACAATTCCTTTTTTTTTCGAGCAATATTTAAATCTTATCAAACATACTCTCAAGCTCCAAGTTTTACATAACTTTTCTTTTTTTTCTTTATAAAAAAATAATGTGACTACATGCTTATCGGAAATTTTAATGTTGGCACGTTGAGGAAAAAAGAGGATTAATCTATACTTTTCGAACGATAGAGGAATCTTTTTTTTTTAATCTTTAATGTAAACTTATGCATACAAGTATACAGACTTGTCCACACCACGGTATTGGAGTCTCGTTTTATCAAAAAACACAGAGATACAGATACAGAAGAAGAGAGAGGGGAAGGAAAAAAAAATATACGTATATATATAAAGTGAAAAGTGCTTCCCCTTTGAATTTTACGTAAGCATGCACATCAGATACCTACACCTACAAGAGCATCTCACGAACAACAAATACACGTTCCATCAAATCGTGGGTAGCGTTTTTTCCTCCTACCGATTGCTGCGTCAAAAGTGAATTCAGTCATTCGTAAAAAAAAAAAAAAAAATGGACGATAAATATTATAGAGTGAAACATTGCAAGCTCGCATATTTTGCGTCACTTCCGTGCACGTATAAAATGGGTTTATGTTTGGGTTTGTAAGGAAAAGAAAAAAAAAAAAAGGTGCGTGCACACGTACCGTTAAACGGCAAACGAAGAAGAAGAAGAAGCCGAAGAAAAAACTAGTGGCCGGCGCATACTACATATTTATTACGTACAGATGTATTAAAAAAATACCCGTCTTAATANAAAAAAAAAAAAAAAAAAAAAAAAAAAAAAAAAAAAAAAAAAAAAAAAAAAAAAAAAAAAAACATAAGGGATATTATAGTTAGCAAGGAATATATATGAGAAAACAGTAGAATTCAACGCACTCTTTTTTATCTTCTTGTAGGATCTTCTCTCCGCATTCCTGTGCGCGAATGTGTATTTATTCGTACATACACGTGCGTACATGAAACGTGCATGTGTGTATTTTCACAAGCGGTGACACTGAACGTTGTGCTCGTCCCCCTGGAACTCTGGTGTATGCAAGTACACCCCCAACACGGGGCGAAAAACTTTTCGTCCTGGTGTTACTTTTCGGATGAACGAAAAGAGAAAAAAAAAAAAGAAAACTACACTTTGACTCGGTCTCTTTGATCGGCAGCGCGTTTTATTCGTACGGGAAAAAACGAACCAACAAGAATTGACGGATCTCGTGATTAAATAATAAAAATAAATTTAAAAAACCAGCCGAAAGCTGCGTGTTCGCCAGCGATACTACGACTACGGCGACGACGCGCGTGTCTCAGCTGTGCGAACGCCCGATACGGACTGACTATAACTGTAAACGACTACTTGTTGCGGTTATTCCCCTAGCCTCCCGCTCCCCCTCTTCTCCCCCCCCGAACTCTCCGGGCTTGCTACTTTTGCAGTGTTATCCCCCACTACTCGATAATACGTATATATATATATATGATACCTACATGTACTTGATCCCAGCCAGCGTGACTGGTGGAGCGCGTACATGTACATGGATGATTTTACAAAAACCGCGATATTTCGTGAAGCCTATGTTTAAAAAACAATATTTTGCTAAAAGATGACAGCAAATTATTCTTAAATGTATTTTTTGGTAGAAAAAAAATTTTGTTTTGCGTGGTTGTAAGATACCAAAAAAATAGGGTCGTTACCGTAGTGCGAAATAATTAAAAATTTTATCCGATTTTATCATTAACGGTTCATGGCACCTATACGCGTTGATTTGAAAATTTTTTTTTACTCCGTACTATTTGAAAGTCCGAAGTGTCAAACATCTTTTCTTTTAGTTTGGAATGATAAAAAAAAAAATGTTTGAAAAAAGATGGGGCCTTTTAGTCGTGAAGCCGACATTTGAAT